TCGATTTCATCCTGGACACTACAGAAAATGAGCTAAAAGTGTTAAAAACCGGAATTTTCCTTTAAGAGTAAAAATAGTCATTCCATTGGCAACTATCTAATTTAGCTACTCAAATAAAGGGTAAATACACTTAATTTAGGAAATTTTAACTTATTTCTAGATCGTTTTTTCCAGTGCATAGAAACGGAATGGGCAAATTGTCTTTCCATCCATTTTCCATCAAGCTTTATCCCAGCTGGGGACGCGAGGAGTGCTGATGCCTATCTCTAGCTGTCTACGGGTGAGAGGCGGGGTTCACCCTGTGACAGATCGCCAATCTGTCGCAGAGACAAACAAAAACACACACACACGTTCACACCTAAGGAGAATTTAGAGAAGCCAGTTAACCTGACAGTCATGTTTTTGTTCGGGGGAAGGAAGCCGGAGTACCCGGAGAGAACCCAGGTACGCACACCAACTCTAATCCAGCGTGATGGTGTCACCAGACGCTCAGCGGTGGGGGGACAGACACCACGCAGCGGTGGGGGGACAGACACCACGCAGCAGCCAGCGAGGGGTTAGATCAGCTTTTTTTACCAATGGGAAGGGAGTCAAATGCTGATTGTTAGCGGATCGCCCCATGTTTAAAAAAAACACATTAACCCGCTACTTTCAGTGGGAAAGAAGCTATATGGTTCCTTCACAGAGACCGTGGAAGCGGTAAAAAAAAAAAAAAAACACTGCCTGTTGCTTTGTTTGCCTGATATAACACCATAATTCCATCTGGTGAGAAACCAACCTTTGCACGGAATGTGAAAGGCTCTACGACATCATCATCTCTGCTGGATGTTGGTTTCACTTAACATGCCTGACCTGCATTTTACAGGGCGACTTTAAAAAGCCGGACAAAGATTCTGGGGCGCCTGGATCTACCGGATCCTCCAGAGACGCTCCCAGTTCTTGGAGTCCAGGAATTACAGCTGGATCATGGTTGCTTAGTCAGAAGAAGGAAAGAACAGCAAGAACCCCGGCAGAGAGAACACCAGAACCGATTGAGGCAGCCGCCCCCCCGAGGCTGGGGAACCAAAGCAGGAGATTGTAGAAGACAGCGGTAGAGGGAGCAGCAGAGCAGGGGAGAGGAGGAGGCTGGCCAGCAGAAACTCTGGAGGCGAACATCAGGAGGCGAAGTAGGAGGGAGGAGGTGGCTGACTGGTGTCTGCGCTGCAGCTTAGGGAGGA